CTGGAAGATGCCATGCCATGGCCATATCTTCAACTACCAAACTTTCAGTGAAGTTCACAGTGCAGATTAGCAGAGGAGCAGTCCTGAAACTTGTTCAGTATCCTTGAATTTTCATTACAGCCAAGCACCTGACCCTGGACTAAGGGAAAAATGATCAGCTACCCCAAGTTTTAAGTATCAGTTTGATATTTCACTTCCTATCTCCCCTGGAACATCAGATGCTCTGAAATCACTCCTAACTGCAGACCTGCACAGACTCACTCAGTGAGGGATACAATGGCGTGAGTGAGGGACATCTTATGCAATCACCTGAAGAATCCCAGCTTCCTGCTGCCTTATTGTTTCAAATGGATTTGACAGCACGTACAGCACTTTTGCACTTTTAGTAAAGCTGAGTGAATTTTATAGATCGTACCCTACTGAAAACTTAACTAAATGGCATCTTGATGGGTTGGTGGCAGTTGAGAGTTACAAGTTCCAGATGTATATTGCTACTGGTTCCTAAAAGGCATAATAGGCTACTGCACTGGCTGTCTATCCATTCAACTAAACACAGAACTATGTTACCACAGCTCTCCTTAAGAATGTTTTCTCACCTTGAAGTTCTCCATCTGTTTCTGGTCACCCCTATAGCAGCAGCACAGTCTGAATGCTCTGCCTCATTAAGATGTCCTTGGAAACCAACAAATGCTAGAAATTCCAGTATCACTGCCATCTGACTTCCCTGTTGCACACCTGCTTTCACAGAAACAAACGAAAAGGAAGCAACAGAGGCAATATGATGCTTCCTGGCTTTGCAGGTAATGTTGAACATACCAGAATAGCAAAAGGCTGCTGAGTTCAGGCTGAGAAGACTATATGCTGCTCCACAGTTTAACTCCGAAAGCGTAAGCTTCACCTCACAATTACCAGGTCTCACTGGTTGCTTACATACACAGAGAATGGTATAATAAAAAAGCTGACTTGGAGAAGCAGTCTACTCAAAGCCACATGATAAGGCAGCCTGAGAAGTATTATCAGCAGGCAGCCCAGAAACAACGCTATGCTCTGAAACATTACAGGAAATGCTATGGGCAGGAATTAATTCAGTCTGACTTCTGTGAACAGTAAAGGTCACAGCAGAAGCATCAAACACATACACAACACCCCTGCACCTTCTCCACTTCCCAGGCCCCAAATGACAGACAGGTACACAGGTGTGCTTTGCCCTGGGTCAGCAGCAATGCCTACCTACAGCCATAGCAACGCTGCCTGATAGCAAAGCCTTTGTGAAGTGAGCACTGGGTTGTGTGGGCAGATACAGGGCAGATTGAAAGAGACTATGATTAGTCAAAACAAACAGATTAAACAGAATAGTAAGCTCAGCTGAACAGAGAGGGGAGCTACCCTGCCTGTGCAAATACTTGCCTGTAATCTTAAGTAAATAAGGCCAACATCTATTTTAACATAATCAATTTTGTTTTCTATTTTACCTCTTAAATGAGATTGCCATACTGTAATCTTGCAGGTGGTTATTTAGCTTTCCTGTGTTCAAAAGGAGAAATAGACCAACATTTCTCATGGAGAGAAAGCAGGTAATATGGCAACACCACCAACTGAGACTCCTGAAATTGCTGAGGAAAAACAACACAGTAGATGGTGCTGCTGGGAGCCAAAAGCCACATCTAGAGTTTATATCCAAATTCAATTACAAGAAAGCTGGGTTGTAAGTTTCATTTCCTTCAGTCTTATGCTTCTCATCCCAAGCTTCCCTCTTTGTTTTTGTTTCTTTACCAGCCACGTCTATGAAAGAAAGGCTGAAAGTATGAGGGCACTCAGTTGTCACATTGAACATAAAGTAGACACACAACAAAAAGACTGATGACATCATACAGTCAGTAAGCACAGCTCTATGCTATTTAAGACGGGTGGGTTACGTGTTATTTTAAAATTTAAATCCAGTTTTCTACCATTATGCTAATCCAGTCAAGGCTTGCAGCTCTCCAGTCTTTTCACTGCTTCCTTCTATGACAGGAGATTTATATAATCTGCTTCTCTTTATCTCCATCTTCTCTAGTATTTTCCCCAAATATACATAATATATATATTATATATAGAATATATATATATATTCTAGCCTTGTCAGGATAAACAAAAGCAGCTACAACTACACTTGTTAGATCTACTAAGTATAAAGTGTAACTGCAAATTATATGGAAGTGACAGGAAAAACAAAACTAAAATGTATAGGGTAAATGAAACCATTTTGTTCAATGCCCAAAGTGTAAGAGAGCAGGATTTTAGAACTTTAATACTAAAACCTAAGTCTTACTGCTGAACAAAATATATGAAAAAATAATTTATCAACCTGCGAGGAAATTCTGCGGTAACCTGCTTCCAAGCTCAGTGTATTTTTTTCAAGGAGCTGTAAAACACAAGGTATTTTTCATAATCTGGATTAGTTTACTTTTATGCATTCAGGTGGGATATTCACACATTCAGCCTAAAGGACTATTTTGCCCATGATGAACTTCTTATATCCTAATTTAAGTATTCAACGCAGTAAAATGTTTTGAAAAAGGATATTTATTCAATTAATCTCTTAGTAAACTTATTTTAAAGTGACTAAAACTGAGTCTTCACAAATTCCTGCAAAGGATTTTAATAATAAAATTTCTTCCCTTACTGCACTGATATGCAGAGAAAATTGATCTCTAAGATTTTGTTAGGAATTCAGTATTAGCACTTTTAAACTATGGGTATTCTCATCTCTCCTCACAACTTAGCAAGATGCATCCAATTAATGATGAATCACTCTACAGAAGTTTCCTGTTTAGAATGTACTGGCAATACCATTGCCACAGTCAACAGAGCTCAAAATGGGGAAGAGAGACTTGCTTGGTTACACATCATCAGCATTTTTTACATAAGCCAAAAAAAGGTTTTCTAAGTTTGTGTGCGTCTCCACCTCCAGAAGGAAACTGTTCACTCCAGGAGAACTGTCATTACGTTATTGACAGAAGCTACACTGTTGTGTGCAGGTAGAGATGTATATACACTACACACTGTATATGCTATACAATTAGAGATCACTACTAGAATTAAGGAAAATTTTATTTATTGTGATCCTAAACACTATTCAGCACATTGGTAATAAAATCTTGCCTGACAGAAACTGTTGATATTTTGATTGCTAAGCACCAGGACACGTAAGAACATCTGTTGGTCTCCACTATTTTTCTCACCAAAAATTGGGTCACAATCCTATGCAGAGTGCTGAAAAAGGTTAAGAACGAACAGACAGACAATTTGGTTCTGTCTAGCAATGCCATGCCCTTAGGGTAACTGAAGAAAAGTGTCTTTCAGCATCAAAGTGAAATAAAGTCAGAAGAACATCCGTCTACATTCTCAACTGAAAATTTTGGTCAAGTTGCATTTTCTGAAATGGATGGCTCACTCACACACTACCTACTTTGCTGATTAATTCTGCCTTGCCTGAAGTAGTTTTTCTTCACTTTCAGGAATTGTTGCACCTTCTCCAAGAGTCTGTTGCCCAAGTTACCATCTCCTGGTTTCTGATGCCTCCTAGGAAGGCTTGTGGAGCTCTGAAAGTTCTGAGGTATGTCAAAGTTGCTTCTGTAACTCCTCAAATACTCTGCTGGAAGCTCTGTAGCTGGAAAGACTAACATCATGAAGGAAACTGCTCTCAGGTATCCCTATCTTTCTATTTTTTAAAATAACAATCAAGATAAAATAACAGGTTTGGGTACATTCAAACAGGAACTTTACATTTCAGTGGTCATTTCTGAATTATTTCTGTTTTTGACTCATTAATATCTAAGACTGTAAGGCATTTAACTTTCAACAGAAGAAGCGCTTTGAGATCATAAGCTTCTTCTCACTGATTAATTTGCCTCCCAATGTTTTAAAGAACACACAAGTATTCCAGACCACACAATAAAACCAACACAGTAAAGATAACTATGTCTTCCAGAAGTTTACAAGGAACTCCAGCAGTTGATTTCTTCAAGCTGAGCAAAAGTAAGCATAAAAAATGAACAGCTTGAACAGAATAGTGGCACACGTAACAAAGAACATTCCCCATGCTAATCTTACTTCATACTGAGATTTACATGATGCTTTAACAGCAGAGGAAGTCCTCATAACAGGGGAAAGCCTCCAATCCAAAGCTATTGAGAGGCACCAATTATTTTAAGTGATGACAGTTTCAGAGGTCTTCAAATGAGTAAATATATAGTTTCTACTTTATAGCACCATGAGCAGTTTACTATAAGTGAAGAGTACCAAATTCCATTGATTCTTTAGAAAATAAAGAAAACTCTTAGAAAAAAAAAAAACAAGTAGAAAGCTTGCTACTAGCTCTAGTGATCAACTTATTAGTTTTCACTCTATGCAAAGAAAATGGAACAATATTAAGGTGAATGAATTTAGGTGTAGATCAAAAAAATGAAGGATTATGCTGCTGGGGAGTGAAGGATTATCATCACTTACCTCCCTCATCCAGAAGCTTCCCACTCAGGGGCTGGGATGTATCTGAAGAGTAACATGTAATGGAAATTTGTAGCATTAAATTGGAATGCTGATTGGAAGCACCTGATGGAGAAGAGGTGAGAATACCTGCTGTTTTAGAAGTGTGAATAGGATAATCCCAAAATCTGACTTTCTGGTCTTCTGCTCTACCACTAACTATTAAGCTTAAAATTTGTTTGGATACAGGGGAAAAATACTACAGCAGTGAGTTACAATAAGTTACTGGAGAACAGTTTTCCAAACCAATAAAGTAAAAAAAAGGCTCAAGTTACAGTTTTTAAACTAAATCATAACCTCAAGACACCAAATAGTCAAAAAAACAGGCAATAATTAGCATAAAAAGGAGATGGAAGTTTACATCAATCTGTACAGTGACACAGCCAAAAAACCAACAAACAAAAACACACCCATCATCTCCCCAACAGAGTATTTAAATACATAAGTCAAAGCTGCAGAAAACAAAGTCTTACCTAGTAAGTGTGTACTCCCTGAGTCCTGAATGCAGGTTCATGGCAGAAAAAGTACCTATGCATCCACGCAATCGTTTATCTCGACCAATCTTCCACGTTACAAACAGTGGGCTGTTTCAGGGAAGGAAAAAAGAAAGACACGATCACAGAAGCACTATTGACAGCATGGAATGTCAGTAACAGTGCCCTTCCTTTTAGGGTAACGAGAAGGCTAACATCTAAAATAATGTACTTAAGCTGCAATTCTTTTGACTGCTCTAGGAATGCTCCTCATGTAATATGTTAGAAAATAAAGACTAGCAGAATATTTAACACACAGAACAAAGTTCTGCTGGTAGCAGATAGGATAGGAGGCTTAACATCCTGCACTGGATGTCTCCTGACAATGAGAAAAGCCTCACCTCAGACATCAATCAATAAAGAAGCCTTTACAGAAGGGAAAAACACCAGTGTCATGTTAATTCTCACCTGAATACACTTTGGTCTTTAACACCGATGGCAAGAAACTACCCAGGAAGTACCTAGCAAGAAGTACTTGGAAAACAAGCAAATTTAGGAACATTCTCCAAACGTAAAGGACTACCTGAACAAAGGTTATTCTTTCCACGAATCCCAAGTCATCTCCAGTTCATATTCAAGAATCTCACAAATGAACTGAAGCGGAAGAGAATGCCTAATAAGCTGTACATATCACGAGTTCAATCATTACAAAGAAATATTTCTATTAACAAACAATTCTGTATTAACCTGGACAGTAAGCTAACAAGGAACCATGCAACTTTCGGGGACGAAAGTTTTCTTTTCTGTCCTGTGTCACTGTATCAATACAGAAGCATCAAAAGCCAAGGGAACTTGGGGAAGTGCACATGGTTCCTGGGTGACAAATCTAAACTCTAGGAAGAGACTTCCAATCTTGAGATAAACCGTGGTTATAGAGAAGAAAATCCTATTTATTTGTTTCTCCCAGAAAGCAGGCAAATCAAAGCAGATTACACAAACACACCTGCTCTTTCCCTTACTGGCAGGCTTAAAAAAATAAGAAGTCATTTTAGCTGAACATCTTGACACAGAGTGTTGATCACAAGTAAGCTTATGTTTCTACACAACAAGCAAACACTCACCTCCAGCCCTTCCACCTTAAATATGGTTTTAATTTTCGTGTGTCACTGGCTATTGAGGATAAACCTACGTCATTCTTGATACAAAGGCTACAGGCATGCTGCACAAAAGCTGAGGCACAAGGTGCATCACTGACATTCAGAACACTTCCAGTTGTCTCAGACACATAAGGATGTTCCTTACTCCATGTTGCCTTTTGGTTTTATTTTTAAACCGTTTAGGGAAAAATGGAAAAACAACCAGCCCCTCTTCCCCCCAAACTAAGTTGGACTCAATGATTCTTGTTGGTCCCTTCCAATCAGGATATTCAATTATCCTCTGAACTGAAAAAAAAAAAACACTGAAAAGCATAAAGCCAAAAGGGACTGCTACCTCACAACAGTATGAAATAGGACATTACACTATTACTCCTTCACCCAAATCAACAAGTAGCATTTGACTAACATTTCCACGAAAGGTATCTCAATTCACCTCAATGGTATCGACAAAATTATTAGATTGCAGTGCTACTGAAGATACCTTCTCCTTCAGAAACAAGCCCAAGAAAGATTCAAATTGCATGTCAGGATTATTCTCTTTACCTTCATCTTTGGATTATGAGATTTACAACCTGTAAAACACTTAGCAGAGGGCATTCAAGGAACATACATTTACTTTCTCATCAAAATGGAATTCTAGGATGTCTCATTACTGCTACTTTAAAAGGACAGTATCAGAAAACATGCTGAGACCACCCCCAAACATCAAACAGGTTTAGACATTTACATATGCTTTGAAAGTTCTTGTCAATGAGTATCAACAGAAATAGCAGAAGTTATATAGCTCGTGTATTTGTACTACGAGAAGTACTCAGTTCAAACCTCTATTCATTACTTAAAAGCACCACATAGCTACAGATGATGTAAAACACAACATCTGACAGAAGATGTTTTTCCAGCATCTCGATTTCTGTGTTCCCTGACTCCTCCCTTGTTCCCCAGGAGCCATTAAAGCATCAGCATGTCTACACAGAAGACTTAGGCCAACTAAACAGAATTACTCCTCCTAATTATCTTCCCAGATGCCTTCAAAGTGTAATACAGACCAAAGTTCAGAGAACGCAGAGACCAAATAGGATTCTAACTGCTGAGATTCTAGAAATAAGGCCAAAAGAGACCTTCAGGGCTGCCAATAGCATAAAGAAAAATTACATTATATAATTTTCTTCACAAATGATCTACATTCTCTACCTTAAAAAACTCTAGAAATAATGGAGGGAAGAGCCCCAAATGAAAAATTAGAAAGTTGCCTCAAAGCCTCACTGAAGTTCAAGAGCTCTGCAAACATCCTGATTCCCTGCTGAAATCCATCCCGTCACCTCGTATCCAGCTGCTCTTCTGCCAACACTGTCCTTTAATTTAAGTTCTGTCTATGCTTCTATCTCTGAATTACCCATACTGCTCCCTTTTAGGATTGAGTCTCACAGCCTATAATAAAGTCCAAATCTGTCATTCACAGCTTTAGGGAGCATTTCTGTTCTTACACTAAAGAGGCAATACAAAACTCGCTCATATGAACTAAGCAAACTATGCAAAGAATTTACAGTTCTTCCTAGCAATGCTCTTCTGCTTTTTATTGGCACCCCCAGTTTCTCCTGCCTTTTTTCTCCACACCCCCAATGCTTTTCATATGTTTTAAAGCTAGTAATAATCCATGAATAAACTTGACAACTAACAGCCTCAGAGCTCAGTTCTGCAGTACAGTGCCGAAGTCCAGATATTGACATCACGAACTGCTAAGTAAATATGTAACTTTTCTACTTGCAAAAAATCCTTATTTTCCTCTTCTGTTTTCCTTCAGAAAATTTTTTTTTGTTGTTTGGGTTGAGTTTTTTTTTTTAACAACATCTTGTTAGACCTGAAATGAAAATGCACACCTCTGGGCACTTGGAAGAAAAGCAATAGAAGCGAGTTTCTTCAGCTGGAGCAGAAGAGGAGGCAGACGTGATGCTCAGCAGTTCCTTTCATCCCACAACACAGGATACACATGACTTGCTGGAGATCTGGGTTATTTTTTTGCCTAAAGAAGTTTGAACCCTCATATCCCACATGAATGCCAGAGTACTGGGGAGGAGCACTCTCATCTTTCTGGCTCAGGCTCCCTCCCACCTAGTATGAAGATTTTGTTGTGGTTTTTGTTGTGTTTTTTTTTTTTAAACATTTGTTAAAGCAGATGCAGCTATTGCCTGTGAAGACTCCAATACTCAGCTTCATGCCATTCTCTTACTCAGTTCAAATGAAGCATCTCATTTAAAAACAAAAAAGCTCTGGGCTTGGGAGTAAGCCCTTTTGAGCCAGGAGACTTGGAAACATACCTGTCTGATGTGTTACCCAGCTCCTCCCCGTGGTGCCTCTGACAGCTTCTGTTAGCACAAACAGCCCAAGCTGCACGGAGCACCCTGAATACACAGAAGCTGAGAAATGGTGCAAGATGTTTCGGAGTGCACAGAGACAGAAGAGGGGACCAAACCCAGACCCTAAGAAACTTCTACAAACTTCTCAATCATTTCTCTCTCATGAGGGTCTTCATTTTATGATGGGGGAGAGACTAAAGATTGTGAGCTAAACACTGAAAAAATATTTCCATCTAAAGCTGCTCACTGCTGTCAGCAAACTCACAAGTGACCCGATGATAACAAACACTTTCCAACCAGCCACTGCCTAATTTACTATTTATCAAGAAGTCTTGCCCAGCCCTAATCTACATCTTGCAAAGCAGACAACTGTTTCATTTATCTGCTACACCAGCTGGTAACCAGATGATTACACGTTGTTTGTCCCCTGCTTTCACCTGGGAAACTGAGTTGAAGAGACAGTTACCACATTGTAAAGATTTAAACTAATGTTTTCTGATACAGAGCTGCTGCCATTGAAAGAGGCATACATAAATGCAAAAAGAGACACTAGTGTCTTAACAGACTAAAACACACACATATACTCAGCATCCCACTCATCCTAAATACTGACCTTAAAGGCTATAGCCAGAAAAAGCGTGGCTGAAGCACAAGAACATGGGTCACCCAGAGCCCTGCCCCATGTGTCACTTCAGCTACTATTACACTGTTTTCATTAATGAAGAAACTAGGACAGCCAAGTAACTTCAGTTGAGCATTAATCCATTGCAACCTGTGCAGAACTGGAGCACTGCACACCAAGGTGACGAGGAATAAACCCATATAAACATTGAAAGAAACTATCACAAGGATTGTCTTGTTCACTGTGCCTACCCCAGTGCCCTAAGCATATTACCTGTTCACATTTTACTAGAAAAAAAAAAGCCAAAAAAAAACCAAAAATAAAAATTATTGACCTGCTTGCTATACGTTACTGAAAATACCTCAACTGAAAGAAAAGTGCACAAGCTATTTTAGCAATCAGCCAGCTATCACAGTAAGAGTCAGCATGCCAACAGCTTACACTGGCACTGGGTAGTTAGCACTGTTAAAAATATACTGGTTTAATATAAAGCAGCAATGAATACAAGCTGACTTTCATTTACCAGCATACTTAACTGAAAAATGAAGTAATTCTTTAATTTGGAGGATGGGAGAAGAGGCAGAAAGCCTGAAAAGATGGGTCTTATTCTAGTGCCATGAGAAGTACTGTGAGAAGTTTCTCCTCCTTGTTATGGACAGGAAGAAAAAGGGGAAGGAGGGGAGAGGAAAGGAGGGGTAACAGATCAAGGATATTTATTTATCAAAGATGAGCAAGGACTTCCTTGGTTCCAGTTGAAGATTCTCAAGTAATGGGAACTTGTAAAGTGAAACTATTTTAACTTAATGAGTGGAGAAGTAAAGTGATATTTAGAAAGACATTTTAGTAGTAGTTATTTAACCATTTTTATTAAAAGAGAAGGAAAGATGTAGGATCAGACATTTAAAAAGTCACTCCTGCCATCCACAAAGGACCAGAGTACTTCCACTTCAGCTCCAAGGATTCAGGAAGTACTCTGAC